TACAAAAAATACCAGTTAAAAAATGTAGTAGTTATTTCACAGCACAAGAATGAAAAACACACAAAGTAGTCTTAGGCCCGATTAAAGGTAGATGGAAAACACAAAGCCATTGAAACTCTCCTTTACAACTCAGATATCAGGAGGGCGTGGGGGAGGGGTGGGGGCTGGGCAGCTTCTAGAGATGGTGGGGACAACATCCGTCGGGGAGTCGTAGGAGTGAGGGGTGTTTCCACGGACAAAGGTTCCGAGGCCTCTGAAGAAACTGTTGGAGAGTGTGCTCTGCAGATTACTGATGGACAGACTCCTGCGGTACAACGCTGACAGTCCGGTGGCTCCTCTTTCGTCCAACGACTGTGCAGAGTGTAGTCTACCTCTTCTCCTTCTGTCTCCTCCTTCCATCTGTTCACTGCTGCCTGTTCTTCTCGTCGAGCCTCTCCTCTCTTTGCTCACAGAGTCAAAGCTGATGGCCCTCCTCCTCCGGACATTACTCTGCAAGTCCTTTGCAGACAACTCGTACACACCCTCCTGGGACTTCTGAAGACTTTCTCTTCTCTCCATCTCCTTCGCAAGCATCTGCACCTCCCAATCGTTATGTTCTCCGACAAACACATCTTCCATCTCGTTCGTACTGCTCGACCCAGAGTCAGATTCCATGTCAATGCTTGTGGAATTCCAAACTGGTTGTGGTGTTATCGATCTCGGAAGATCTTGTAGTTCTTGATTTTCCTCTTCTGAATGATCCTCCCAAGAATGTTTGTCTGTGCGCCAGTGCCAAGGACTTCTTTTTGGAGATGACAGGACCGTGTCGACAGAATCACCTCTCTGTAAAGCATTCAGAAATATATTTGAAAACCCCTCTAAAATAGTAGAAAATTACGTTACCTCATTTTGTCAAGGAAGTCTAAATGAGTTGTTTTATAAACCGGCCATTAAATGTAGGCAAGAACAAAAACTTTAAGGATTAGGTACCTGTAAATCAGAACTTGCAATACTACTATTTCTAATCACATTTGTTTGAAGCCATTTGATCACATTTCATCATAACCCTATACTGTGATATGAGTTTTGAAAAAGTTTTTGAAAAATATTTGATGCTGAGTTCAAGTTTTGTGAATGCCTTCCTTGAATTCATTTATTGGGTGCAGTGTTCTATACTTATGAATATAAATCCAGTATATTAATATTCTAGGGTTACAGGAAGAACAAATGTACTAGTCATGACATAAAAGTAACTAACCATAAAAGGAGCATCAACAGGTTCATCCATGTCCGAACTATTTTCTCTTTCTGTGTTCTGCAAAATTCAAACCAATCAGTTAAACACAAAATAAAATCCAAATTCTTGTACTATTCAATATTAAACTAACGTATAACCAAAGGTAATAAACGGCATGAAATTAGTAATAGAAAATGGGTAATAAATATATTTAAAAAAATGTTAAAGAAATTTACATGTGGTGTATGGTAGCAATGTTACTTTGTATTTTTTCTTCCACCAAGCTAACACAGTAAAAATACAATGCATGTTTTGAGAGGTTTATGACATTTTTAAAATCTTTTGAATCTACCAGTACTTAGAGGCTCAAGGCTCAAGTAAATATTAAATAAAGTTTAGGAAAGGGACATACTCAAAAATAAAAGACATGAATAAACTCACACAACAAACAAATACCTTTTAGAAATCCATTCTCAACCAACTCAAATTGTATTCTTAAGTTTTATAAATTTCTGCTTGTTTGCAAGCAACAAAAACAGTTTGTTCTGCATTAGTTATTTGCAAGGTTAAGTATTTGCAAACATGATAATCATTAGGTAACTTTTCTTTAACTTTTCTTTTTCTTAAATTTAATAACATTGGTTTAAAATCAAATAATATAAATACAATATTTAATTTGGCTTCCCAAGAGCTTTTTTAATAGATTTCTTACACTAAACAAAAAAATATTGACAGATAAACAATCAATTTTATTCTTTTGATTTACCACAGGTATGAAGTTTGGCCGTGGTGCACAAACTTACTCTTTGCAAACTAATTGTTGTTTTATATCAGAATGTGTCATATAAAATGGCTGTTCAAGGTCTAATTGATGTAATTTTCAATAATTAATGTTTGACAAACTTAGATCAAAGTTTAACATTAAGAAAGGGTTGATTTCAGAAATTAATAAATAATGTTTTTGCTTTACAAGAACTTGGCATTGGTTAACTGAGGTTGTAGAAAGAATCAATGATTAAAGTTTTACAACTATAAACTTAAGTTGTGCTTTAAACAAGATTTGAGGCTTGGGATTGGCGACTTAGTTTTCTCACCATCCAAGGATTTGGATGTTCACTGAGGTTGAAAAAAGAATAAATTATCAAAGTATGAAAACCAGATGGAGTTACCATAAAAAAGAATTTAGCAAATTATGTTTTACTAAGTAAAGGATCTGGTCTGAAGTAGATCACTGAGATGGGATAAAAAACAGTGAATAATGTTTTTCAATCGTAATTAAAGTTGAACATTTCGAAAGAGCTATCTCAGAATCGGCAATTTAGTTTTCCTTTACCTCAAGTTCTTGTATCCGCTCTTGCAGTTGTGCGATGATATCATCACGTTTCTTAACTTCCATTTCAAGATCTTGGAATCTTGTCTGGAATTTGCTCTGTATCTCCTCCTGAAACATAATTTAACTAACAAAAACCTTATAAATATAAAAAAAAAAACTTTAGTGAACTGTTGGAATGTTCAAATACTTAAATACTTAATTGAGTGTTCTTTAAATCCCCTAACCTTTTATTAAATGAAACATAATTATAAATTATCACAATTGTTTTTTTTTTTTATTTAAAAAGCTTTTACTAGACATAAGGTACCAGTACAAAAAAATTTACAATTAGACAAAGTGTTATGATTCCCCCCTGCAATTGTCTATTGGACAAAGTTAAAAAAAGAGATGCCAATGCAATAACCACTGCTGTATAATATGCAATCTAGCCAATACTGATATTTGATATATTTTAAGATTTTGTGATTTTCTTTTTCAAATAAAAAAAATAAATAAAAATATACAAATCTGAATCGCTTTCTGTGATGTACTCTTTATTTGCTTTTTGTAGACCCTAATTTCTTTCCTAATATTATCTTCTTCTTACTTATGTAAAGTAGACCCTAATTTCTCCATGTTCAATTTGTAAGTATATGTATAATTTATTATTCTCTCCTCAACATGCTACCCGCTTACACTCTTATATTTAATCTCCAGCAAATTTCATATGTTGAAACACATTACCTATTTTGCTTAACTCTTCACATATTTCGACCAACTTCTGCAAACGGTGCATGACATGTGTCTACCTGTTCAGTAATAATAATTTAACAAAAAAAATTATTCATGTAATTAATAACTCACCAGATGATTTTGAATGATAGTTTTTATCCCACCTAGAATCCCGCCAAAAAACTCTTCTTCTTGGCTAGCATGAGTGGGTAGCAGTATTGATCCAGGGCGAAAGAAGTTTTTTTGCTTGGCTTGAGGCCTTTCGATCCAGTTGGTTTGAGATTTTTTTGAACAATCGATAGACTTGAAATCTCTAAGGTCCGGTTGCAAGAAAGGTTTAGTGGAGTGTGTAGTCTTAAGGCTACACATTTGCGACACCATTGTTGACAATGTGTCTGTGGTTACACTCATGGATGATTGGACGGTCACAACCGGAGGATCTTCCACACTGACCGGAGGCTCTAATGTCTCACTGGCCTTGGGCTCTTGACCACTAGCTTGATTCTCAAGAGACACTGATGTTCTTGTAACTATCTTCTCACTGGCAACACTTTCTAAACTAGAAGAAATCCTGGGGAACTGAGAAGTAAGTTTAGGTTCTGGAGTGGTTGGGGAGGCGAGTCCTGAAGGTGGGGATTGTAGAGTATCCCTGTTGAATGTGACACTTTTTGTCAATTTGCTGTGTCTTGCTGCGTATCCCTCAAATGTTTGTGCCCTCATCAGCTTCCTCATCTCTGCTGGAGTGTTTGACAAAACCGGTGGATTTTCAGAACTGATATTGCCATTTGTACCTGTTAAAGAAGAAGAAGAAAGTTTCTTCAATATACTTTTTAGATGGCGTCTTTCAACTGTCTCGTTGCTTTCGGGTGAAGTCAGCTGACCATCTGGGCTGAGGGGCTGTTTTGAAAATGCCTTTGAGTTCTCGGAGTCCTGACCAGCTAATCTTTGCGCTCTCATATACTGATTTCTGAGTACTACTTCAATCGCTATTGCTTCAGAGTGACTTCTTGTTAAATGTTTTGAATCATACATTTCATTGAACTCCCTACTTTCAGGATCATGCCCTGAATCCAAACTTGAACTACGTAAAAACGCTTTTTGCTCTAGATCGGCAAGTTTTTGTCTTTCGTTTAGGATTTTTAGTTGTTTTACAAATGGTAATCCAGAATATTCTGGTGAAAGATCTTCTATAGACTTATACAATTTATTTTGATTTTTAAGTCTTAATGATAATGGTTTTCTTCTAATACTCATTCCTTTGCATAATCCTAACTTTTGATCGTCACTTGAAGTTTCTATATCGATTAAAATACTATCCTTATTGCTAGATGGTTGGGAATTACTATTGGTATTATTGTCCTTACTAATACTATTACTTTGAGCATTCATTATGTCTTGAGCAATTTTATTACTTTTATTTGAATCTTTTCTTTCTATTAATAAATCATTATTTAATTTTTCACTTTTGGCACTATCAGAACTCCCCTCTGATGACTTTAATCTTAAACAACTGGTTTTGATTTTATCACTGTCTTTTTGGTCACGGTGTGAAGTAGACCCACTCGAAGAGTCAATAGACCTAGATTTGGTTTTACTCGGTCCTACACCGGAAGCAATAGACGCAGCTGAACTATCTGGTGCTTGTTCTTGGGGTACACTAATGTCAGATAGTTGTGCAGTTTCAGGTAACTTAATTGATTCAGTTTGGGTAGTTATCGGTTTTATAATCAAGGCAGCAGAGTCATTTTTTTCTGCTTTAACACCCATTCCTGCCTGCTTCAATATTGTTTGGAATTTTAATGGAGCTTTAGGCTTAACAGGTTCTTTTTTTGGTTCTACTTTAACCACTTTCTCTTCACTTACAGCACTTACACTGTGACTGATCTCGGTGCGTTGGCTTTCCTTTGGGTCACTTTGTATTACCTCACAATCATCTTTCCACGAAACCCCCCCATTCTTTCCACTGCCCACACATTCCTTAGGTTTCTTCGTTGCTGTCACTCGATTGAGTATTATGGGTTTTAGTGGTGGTTCTTCATCTTTACTTTTTTCTTTGCTCTTTTGAGACTTGAAGGATGGAGATCTTAGCTGCTGTGTTCTGACCGTAGATGCCAGTACTTGTGCCGTCTCGTTGGCTGTTGTTTGAATCGTACTAGTCTCTTGATCGCGGTCTTCCTTTTGTTTCAGAAGAAGCAGTCTTTGCAGCAGAGGTAGACCTGCTCCGATCACTTCACGTTCTTCTTCTTTCTTGCCCGTATACTCTGGAGCTGTTAGCTTACTTTTTTCAGTAGTTTCTCTCTCCTGCTTTACTTCTTTGTCTAGTTTTGTCTCTTTGTCTTGCTTCTCCTTCAGCAACTTAAGCCTCTGCAGCAGTGGTAGTCCTGCTCCTATCTTGGTGTCCTGTTGAGCAGGATACGGCTCGTCTTCTTGTGAGGTGTCGTCACTCATCACTCGAGGCATGCGGCAAAGTATCCCCTTCCCTTCCCTACTGCTATGTCTCTCTCTGTCCTGAGAAATTGTCAAAGGCTGAAGCTCCATACACTCTTCCCTTGACCTGAAACAATGTAATGGGTTTATTTCAAAGTTGAAAGCAAATTTCATTCATTTATGTTCCACATCAAATGTCATAGATTGTGATCAAGAATTCATACACCTCCTCTTCTATTAAATGTAGTTTTTTTTTTTTTTTTTTTTTAGTGAAACACTCTGAGGAAGATTTTCAAAATAATAAATATACTTAAAATCTTACGTCAAGTTAATCTTAAACTACAGTTCATGGTGTTTATATCTCAAATTGTAGATATAAGTAAGTTACATTACTTAAATAATCTACAAATAATTTCTTAATCCTAGGTGTGGCATATAAAACGATTTTTACTGTCGTATAGGTAATCCAACAGCTCAAATTCTGAGATTGAAGCTCACAAAAGAATGTTTGGTGCAGAGATAAACATTTAAGAGCTCCATCACACATTATACTGCTTTGCTGACAGACAACATGAATACAGGTCTCTGCTTGTAATGCAAATAATCACCGAAACCTTTCTGTCTGCCATAATGCTCAAATTGAATGCTTCCTCATACATTTATATTGACCTCTTTTTATCATGAAATGTAAAATCAAAATGGATTCCAGAAAAAAAGTACTGGTAAGAATTAAATTATTGTAGTAAAGTAATAAATCTATAACTGCAGATCTACTGTTGATTTTATAACAGTTAGAAATTTAAAAGAGTGTTCAATCATTACAGTTTGGTCAGAAGCGTATATATTTAGACAAAATTGAAAAAAGTGAGATAGCAAAGTGTAGTTTTAATGGTCTTTTTAAAAGTTTTATTTTCTAAATGGATATTTTATTTTACTCAAATAATTACATTTTATAACTTATCTTCCCTTTAGCAAACTGAAAATTAACAATTAAACAGATAAACAGTAGGCTACCTACATAAGATAAGGAATGTGTTTAAATAACACAAAAAAACATTACAAATCTACATTAGATCCACTTTTCTTTGATATGTAAACTTAATTTATGTCTGACAACTCATATGTTAATAGACTTTTACCTGGGTCCTCTTCTGCTTTTACGTAGAACATTTTTCAAGCCTTTTACATCAGATCTAATCTTGTCCACAATCTTTTTACCAGTTTTGTTGTCAAAGATTTCAGAAGATCCAGGTGAAGACATACACCTGCTTCCCTCTGAACCTGAAAAAGATAATACTAAGTTGTTTGTCTTGTACTATAATTGATTAAGTTTTATAATAAACATTATTAATTCTAATACACTTAGAGACATCATTGTATAGATTATTGCAATTTCATAGCTTTTAGAAACTCTCTGTGTTAAATACTTAATGAGTTGATAATCAATTTGATTTCAAACACTTTTTTTGTTTTTCCTACTTCGAGGAAATTGCAATCTCTTTAGTGTATGATAAAAAATAAAGTTATGAGCAATTTAAGATATAACGAAGGGAAATATTTTAATTTAATGTCAGCATCTGTTTCCATGGTTTTGTAAATGTAACTTTAGTTATTAGGTTTTAATATTCATCCCTAAAACCTATTAAACAAATAAATGGGGTTTTGGAATTTGTATGAGTGTGTTGAATAGGAAACATTTATCATTCCGTGAGTAAATATTTTATCATTTGTTTGAAATGAAAGCGTTTTATTTTTATCAATCTTTCCTACATAAAGTACATGACATTTTTATATGTTTCAACTAAAATAAATCAATTCTTTACCAGCATCAAATAATGACATAAGATAGTTACTTAAATACATAATTAAATCCCAACAACAAAAACAAACTAAATGGCCTGTGGCAGGACCGAGTTGCAAGTTGAATCATTTCCATAAATTTTGAATAGCAGAGAAAAAAAGCAAGAACTGTTATCATATAATTGAAAACCTTTAGCGTTTCAAAATCTTCAATAAATTTTGAAGGAGAAACGTTGAGTTGAATTAAAAAAGGAGAAACTAATGCTGATGCTGATGATGGATTATCATAGCAGTGCTGAATTTATAAATAGTTAAAAAGATATTTATTTTAGTCATTTTTTGTTTTTCCATTTTCAAAACATTCTTATCCACCTAAAGAGACAATAGAGTGACATGCGATAGTGTAAGTGCATTTGTTCATTTGAGTTTGACAAGTAAGGCTGGGCCTACACAATCCATTTTTGTTGTATTAAACTGCATAAAATCAGAAAGTGTTTACAAAGTTAGGGATTTTGAAGTGTAAATGGGCGTTCTCTCTGTTATGCAAAAACACTTACATGAGATAGGACTGTAAATTCAACTTGGTTCTTAATTTATTTATCTTTTATAGAGCTTTACAGCAAAAATCAATTGTGTAGACTAGACCTTAGTTGGTGTTACAGATAAATTCTTAAATGCATCAAGTGCTGAAGATTATTTTAGGTTTGCTTGGAAGTTGTCATGCTGAAAGACCAAGTGCGATAGTCTGAAGTCGATGCTGAAATCTGGATTAGTTACCGTTACTTAAGCCACTTTCTTCTGAGTTTGGAGGCACTTGGTATCGTAGTTTTCTATGGCTGCTGCGGTTAGTGACCACAATGTCAATCAACTTTTCTGGACCCGGCTGACCTTTTACATAAAGTTTTAGTTAATTTTCTAAATATGGTAAAACTCTGGCAAAATTACTACCAAACAACATTGGGACGTTTTGAGGTCTTACCAAGATTTTTGCTGACCCGGTTGACGCTGCGAGCTTCCATGAGTCTTTTACGTCCAAGAGTTTGAAGGATATCTTGAGCTTCTGGGTAATCCTTCATGGCTGCTAGGACATCTTCCCTTGACAGGCTGAAGAGCTCTGAGTATCCTACAGATCTCACATCAGCCGTCCGCCTGAAAACATTTGAAATACTGAATCTCAGAAAAGTAGTACTGTTTAAACTAAATATTCAGGTTTCTACAATGTTTCTAGGTAAAACCAGTTTTTCAAAACCACCTCAAACATCATCTAATAACCAAAACTTCTTATGAACTTCTGGCACTTTTCTTAGCCTAGTAGGTGAATAATAATGTTTATCTTATCATAGTTAACGGGAAAAAAACTTAGTTTGTTTGCAACAAGTTCTATAACACATAAGAGCTATTATTACATGATCAAGACCTTATTAGGGTCTTTACCATGTTTTTTATTTCTCGTTACACAGTTCAATATACTGTCAAATTTTGTGAAGTGTGATGATGCAAATATTTATCTAGATGTGTTTGGAAATAATTTTTAAACCTACTCATAATAATAATTGACTTAAAAAGACCTAAAGTTCTATTAACAATAGGTTTAGGTATTTAACATTATATAATTGTAATAAATCTTTACTTAAAAATACGTTAAATTGAAATAAAAATCAAAATAACCTCCGACTTCTGTGACTTCCTTTAATCACCTCAGTTACATAAATAATACTATATAAGTAATTACCTCCCTCAGCAGTAGTATGTAAGAGTAACGGAACTTATTTGATAAAAACAGACTAAAGTTGAAATACCTGTTCAGCCCATCAAGATTGAGGATTCCTATTTCACCAAAAAAGTCGCCTGCTTTCATGGTTGTAAGCACCCGCCCTGTTTCACTGAAAGCAAAGTTTGGAGATCATCATTTATTGGTAAAAAGTCCCACTAATTCCAAATTACGTTCATTACAATCCATTAGTCTTAACCTAGTAGAGAATATTTCATACAATTTTATCCTGTAGGTCAAATAAATTCGTTTTGGTCAATTTAGAACTATTACTTTTTCAGTTTAAAACTAATTCCTAAATTCAAATGTTTGATATTACTTGCCCATCTATGCACCGAACATTTTAAAATTGTACACGATATTATATAAAATACGTTGAACAATATTCTGTGAAGGTATTCGCACCTTAATATTTCTATAAAAATGGTGGCATTGTAAAAGTTTTACCCATATACTTTCTACGAGTAAAAAAAATAGTTTAAGGAATTATTGTCTGATTTATTTACTACTTTGCAGTATTGACACTTATTGTTTTACAGCTTTCTTATTGAAGGGTGTTGCTTGAGCCATTAAAGCACAACCTAACCTTTCATTTTCGTTTTAATGAAACTGAAGTTCCAGTAATGATATTATTGTTGAACAAAAATATACTAAACTACAAACTTCATGGGTTTTGGATTGGCTATGGAAATCATTTTCTTAAATTGGCCAACCCAATCCTCAGAACTCTGTGGGATTTCTGTTATGGGTTGTTTAAATTCACAAGTCGGTGCCTATAGTAATGCCTTCAGTAATTATGGGGAATCAAAACTATCAATTTGGAGAGGATCTTGTGCGGTTACCATAGAATTTCTTGTTGAGTTTCTTGTTATTGATGTAAGTGTAGTTATCAGTGTGTTGCTGGATTGCAGGTTGAGTTATTTTGTATTCTAATTTGAAAAGTTTTTATGATCAATGTTTTATTTCTCTGATGAAAATACCTCATTTAATCATAATGTGACAGTAAAGATGTTTTAGAAAACAAACACACCGCTCCCTCACACTTTGTTTCTAAAAATATTACGGTACTGAAACTTTCTCAGTTTATTTTAAACCCCATTTTAGAAACTATGTAAAGAGACAAAATATTCTGTGTATAAATGGGTTGGTTATATAAAATTACACATTTAAACTTGTTCTGTTTGTAGGAAACTCTGTAAACCATTGATTTACATTTGTTGATGTTTGTCAAATAAACTCACAAAGTAAAGTAAAAATTAACATGAACAAGAGTGTAAAGTGATACCTTTTTACTTCCAGGATGCCATCTGCAATAATGAACATTTCTCGTGCTACTTCGCCTTTCCTGCAGATCAGATCTCCCGGGGTGAAAATGTACGCTTTCATTTTTAAAACAAGATCGTGGAGGAACTCAGGTTGGCACTCATGGAAGATAGTTACCTGGAATTATTTATTTACTCTTGAATTTGTACAACGCAATATTTCCTGTACATTTGTTTTTACGATGCATTTTTTTACTACACATTTCTTTTTGTGAATTTTTAACCATGCACATTTCACAACCAAATTGACTGGTCATTAAAATTTCTGTTAGTTTTAACCCAAACAATAATTTCACAATGTTAATTTTAAGATAAACTCTAATATTATATCTGGATTTTATTAGGTAGATTTGTAATATTTTATGTATTCTTTGTTTGAAGTTCATTGCTGGTTATAGAGAGTTAGGTAATGTTTTTAAAGGTTTATTGCGGACATTTCAAACAGAAATGTGTAAATATTGTATTTTACCATTGAGATTAAAAATGTCTACAATAAACCTTTAAACATTTGATGTATTGTTAAAAATAAATCAAGCAATATTTTCTTGGTACCTACACAGCCTAGGATTTTATAATAATAAAATCAGATGGATTTCATTATTGTTGGCATGGTATTTTTTTATTTGCAGGCAAAAACGTGTACTTTTTTATTTCAATGTTTTAAGTTTTAAACATCCATTCTTGCTGATAGATGTGCTTTCGATCTAAATTGCTCATAAAATTGTCCAAATAATCTTAGTGCAATACAAATTTGTATTTCCTTAAAGAATATTCAATTAATATTCTAATATTCTAAGAGTTATGTAATTAATATATCTATTAGCTTCATGTAAAAAATATAATATTGATACTCAACCCAACCAAAAAATTGACTAACATTTCAGTTTTTGCGGTAGTATGTACTTCAAACTGGTTTATTTAGGCTACATAGCTTTGAAACATATTTCACAGTTGGTTAAACAGATTAAACAAAATAATGAGATATTTCAATGTGTAAATTAGTAAATTACCTTTTTTAGAACACTTAGATTAACGTGAAGGGCAAGTTCAGTCTTGAGTTTGTCTGGAAGGAGACCTAGAGCCGTGTTGATGTCCCCTCCTCCTTGGATACGTCCCCTGCAACCATTACCCTTCTAACTACACACGCAAACTACTTTTATAGCCAAACTTCCCTTAAACAGGCCACAGTTCCGAATCACAGCATTTAATTTCAAATGAGACCACAAACCAATGTTTCTGCTGGACTGTATGCAGTTTGGTTTTGACGCATTTGTGTTTTTTTAATTTGTTAAATACAATATGCTTTAAATTTGTTAAAAACAATACTTTTGTAAAGCCATAAACGGACAAAGTGACTCTAGATATTACGAGATAAAATGTGATACACATTTTTTGAATGTAAACACCCTTAAAAGTCAAAATAAATTGGTTGAAATGTATTTTTATTTAAAGCAATCAAGTTGACGCACGAAATACCTGTAGTAGAGTTAAAATAAACGAATATCAAAAGATACAAAAAATGTATTTCAATTTGAATTCAGTAATAATGAGATTTAATCATCAAACTCTAAACGAAATAATGTAATAATTATATGTCTGAGCATACGTACAGGCACCTCTTATGCTGATTCCTTAAAGGGCAGAATATCAACTTTGTATGAATAAAAAGTATTTGTTACATGCAGTTTTTAGTTTTACTATTTATGATGCTTTTAACACGTTCTGCATTTTTGCTGAATCCGTTATAGTAACTGTTGTGGAGTAAAAGGTACCTTTTGCTCATTTGTTATAGTTTTTATAATAGAAATCATTTTGTGATTTCCCAAAATTGTTGTGTTTTCAAACCTTATTTTAACAATTAATTACTGTGTGATACAATTTATAGTGGACCCAAACAAATAATTTATTTTGGAAATTATTTATTGCAATTATAATCATGAATTGATTTGACCTGCACATCACTTCTTATGGACGTTACTGTATGTCTGTATTTCAATATTAAAGCCCGAAACGTGTAAATTTAAAACTTTTAACGTAGGCCTACTAACAAAATTTTTGTTTTACTCAACAATTTCTGAACCTTAAGGGCACATTACCGCTATAGGCATACAATGAGAAATTAATCAATTCCCACTATATACGTTCAGAAATTAATAAAAATATTGTAATCTAGATAGTTTTACAGCCTGTAGTAAACACCCTACGATTTGGTTGGTTTCTATTTCATTTAAGTAACCTTTACGCAATTCATATTTATTGAATTTATCATCTTTTTAAGCAAACTTAAAAATATATTCCACACAACATGAAACCAAAACACAATCAAGGTAGCAAAAATGTAAATCGGAATACACAGACAAAAATGTTGTAACATTTGAAAACTGTTAGCGTTGGAGAGGAATCTAAATTTCATTGTATGTAAATGAAACCCAAACTAGTGAGGAACTTATAATTAAATCTACTGGATCAGTAATTAACCCTGGATCGTTTTGCAGCAGAACTACAAAGTCTCAACATTTCTCTTGGTTGAGCGTGAATTTCACTTCGACATTTACATTTCTAAAACTGTTTCCCAAATGATTATACCTGTTTTGTAATTTTTTGGAGCGGTAACTCTTGACATATACAAGATAAATTATTTGGCATCAGTGCCTGATTTAGGTCTTTAGCTCTGGTAAACATTTTGGGCATTGATGTTCTTATGCATATCCTTTTCCCGGTTTCATGTAGGGGGTGCGTCTAAATTATGAAAAAAATCTGCCATCAGTACCTAATGATAAGTATGGTTCGTCTACCAAACTACAACAAAATAATCCTAAGTTATTGATTTATATTGGTTATACTGATTATATGGATTATATTGATATTGATTTAAATAACACAGTTAACGATTATCGTCATTGTATACTCAATACTGCTTGATCTTTCAATACAAAATGCAGTCTTATGTTAAAAAAGTAATGTACACTGACACTGTTTCAATAATTAATTGAGTAGATATTCTATTTTACAATTCAATTGGTAAAAAAATGAGTGCATTTAGAGACAATTGGATGTTAAAATAGACGGAACAAGTCAAAATCTCAAAAATATGTTTGAAACTTTTCTCAGTCTTTACAACCTTTTAACCTTTTTACCAGCCGCCTTGGGCATAATGTAATGTTAATGATGCTCTGACTTAATGTTGAGATCAAACGTTTTCTCCACGATACTTTTTAATCCAGTGTAACCAAAACCATTGAATTATCTCATATTTCCTTATATGTTTACATATTTAGATATTTACAAGAATATTAAATGCATTTTGGATTGCTTAGCTAAATTAAAGTAAAATGTATGTTTTAAACGAATACTCAGATATTTTACAGGGGTTTTCACACAATTTATACTTTTTGTACATGTAAAATTGTCCATCAGAAAAATGTAAACGTCTGTCAAATAGTATTTATTTTAAATATAATATAAATCGGTTGCTATAGTATTTTTAAAGGGGCTACATCCAAATCTGACCATTCACCAACGGCGTTGAGAACATTGACATTTCTGTGATATGATGTTATATAGCTTGTAGTTGGTACCTTGCCTTGAGATTTGGTCCACTTACCTAGGAAACTAGGAAGGGTAGGATTCTTAGGCTTAGAGAACACCTTTTTCTGTATAGGAAAACCTGATCCCCTAAAAGCTGTACGATATTTTAAATGAAACAAAATATTTATGGTTTGAAATTTTAACTTTGTATTGGGAAACATGATTAAAATAGCACCATGGCCAATGTATAACACAAGAGTCCACCCCCTCCCACAGGTTAGGGTAGGAGGGGAAGTTAGCAGATCTATATGGCTTCTACAATCCTGTTAGTGTATATCATTGCACACCACGCTTAAAATATGTTTTACTAACAAAAAATCCACTTACATTTACATAAATAAACTTCAAAATATTATCTGTAATAAATTTATATTTTGTCTTGAAGTTTAAAACATCACAATTCTTTGCCTGTACCACAATGGTATGATCTTGACTTTGAAAGTAGAAATGATTGTTGATAAATTTAATAACTTATTATGATATGTTTATGCTTCGACATTTACTTAGGTTTTATCAATCGTATGGCATTTAATGTTTCTGACATTTTATGGAGGTTCAAAGGACAGAGCTAACTTAAAAGTAAATCTTTTTCCAAACAAATCTTCTAAAACGTATTCCCAATTAAATACATTAATCAAATAAAATATTGCACCACTCCAAATTGCATGGACTCATTACAATTAGCGATTAGTTTAATTAACAATTACCTATGTTAATTGAACGATAATTAATTATGCTTTTTGTAATGAATAGCAATTTAAAATATTTAACCAGGTCTTTGTTTCATTTATATTACATGATAAAACTATTGATAGAGCACAACAATTTGGATATTGACAAATTGGTTTCAGACAAATAATAATACAATCAGCCAAAACAAATAATAATTTACCGAGCATTGTTTGAATTCAAAAAGAATGTTCCTCAAATTATCATACTTTCCAATAGACATGTCTACCTTTCTATCAAATTATAATTAACAATCTTTTTTTATTTCAACCATTCTTAATGGAGGATTCCAGCATAAATTTGAGGGATGAACATTTTTATTAACGGGTTATTGATTTTGGTCTTGAACTCGAATCATTATATCATGGCAGTGTAAAGTAAAATAAGTAGAGTGTGAAGTAGTGTTATTCAATAAAAATCTATGCATGTTTGACTGAAGATTAATCATCTTTCAAAATTGAGAAGACTGACTACTTGCGCTCAATTATTTCGTCTTGCCCTAAATTACATTAAAGTAGGATGCAGTATGAGGAATGCATTTAGATTAATAGTTGGGAAGATAAGAAAAGACAGTGTTAGTTAATTAGTTCATATATTTAAAGGTTATTTTACATTAACTCATACATGCGCACAAGTTATTCCCCGATAGCTATTTTAAATTATGACAACTTTAAAAGGTAAATTTTCCAAAACTCATTTCAATAGAATGAAATGAGTTTATACACTGGTATGAGAATTTGGATGTATTTCATGTTGTTACAGACCAACTAATGGATTCATGTCCAAAGCCAATATTTTTTAAAATTTATGTCTAAACCAAGGAGTGGACTAATGTTTAACAGTCCAGATAAAAAATAAATTAAAATATGTGAGAGGTTTTGTTGTTTAATTTGTCAAAAAATTATCTTTTAATGATTAATGATTCTGATGGACTCAGTTTGCCCTATTATTTTGGTTTCTATCCTGGTTATGACTGTGTGAAACAATAAACTAATAAAATAATGTCGTCAACTAATATTTAAAAAGTTGTATAATAAAAGTAAATGAGCAAAACAATGTCCAAAACACTACAGACCACGCAAATAATAATTTAAAATATTTATATGGAATGTTTATCAATTATTGTATACAACAAATTATTATTTGACAACTATTTACTAATTAAACTGAAATTACGGTGTTCTTTTTGTTCCTTTTCTGATTTATAACTTTCTAAAACAAAAACAAAAACAAAAACTGATGGAATAATTTATTAACCTATTAATTAAAAAAGTGGTATGTAGGTCTAAATAATGTCGCCTATTGGGTCTGATGATGATTGAAGTGTCTAATCGAAATCGATCACCACTTACCATCTTTTATATGTATTTAGTTATTATTTAGTATGTGATACAACAGTATAACCATTTATAATAGTATTATAGTATTATAGTATCACATAGTATACGTGTTCAAGCGTTTGTTTTGGATACGTTACAAGTGTTTAGACGTATTTTTGGTACTTTCAGGTAAATAATATCCATACAAAAACACGAATAAAATGTTGTGTAACCCTTCTTCTAAATACAATTTTAAATAATATTAACTAACTATACTTGAATATAAATTTTAAATATTTTGAAATAATATTAACTATAATGCATTGTAATAGAAATCCAGTAATAGTAACATCTGACTTGCTATTAATTTATATTTCAAAACATTTACTAAATTTAGAACCACCATAACAGAGGTTTAAAGTTACAACACATTAAACATTCACACACATATGGACACATGTGGAAGGGAAACACTGGACCTTTTCAAATATGAATTTGCTGACCACATCAGTCATGCAAAGTGTTTTAAAACAACTTCTTGATAAAAAAATCATAGTGGAAACAGGAAACCCGTAAAAGCATTTGGTTTTTATTTTGTGCTTAGTTCGAGGTTAACTAATTTCGTATGAAGCATATTTGTATAATTATTTGTAACTTACATTAACTATAGTCAGATAGTGTTTGTCAATTTGGAAATCATATTGAATTAAATTGAACTCATCTCTTTATGGAAATATAGGTTCAGTCTTTACAAACCAAAATATATCTCTTTAAATCAAGTTAGTGGTATTTATCTGAGTTTTTAAGACGAACTAACCAATCTGGTAAAGGTAGCAAAGGTCAATAGTTCATTGTAACTTATTATCTGAATTTAAGTTCCACTGTCCCAGGACTGATCTAAATTCTGCCCTACTTGAATTTACAGAACAACTATGTTTGTTGTAAATTAGTATGTGTTAATTTGTTTCTTTATGGGAGTGCTAAAGTAATCTCAGTAAACCCTACATCCAATTGACTAAGATGATACTGGCATACTGGAAGTCCCAGGACAGTTAGCCATATATCTGAGTTTATCCTTTTCCTTCCCATAGACCCCTGGAATATTCAACCCAGCGTCGACCGAGTTATCCGTGGCAACGTTTGAAATGACTCATGTGGAAGTACGTCACACATTTTAGCGTGACAAAATAAAATAAAAAGGGTAAAATGCTTTTTTTCGGAGCACATAAGAAGAGCCCGAAATTTTAATCCCCAAAAAGGTTCTCTAATCTTAAGCATAGAAAGAGCCCGGGTCTACACAGGTACCTGAGGAGGTGGACGCTGACTCGTGTTCTGAAATAAAGTTAGTTGTGTTTGGTTGGGTTCGGTTAGGTTAGGTGAGGTTAGGTTAGGTTAGGTTAAATTAGGTTAGGTTAGTTTAGGTAAACAGACTATATCTTTTAGTAATTTTAATATTTTTAATAATCTATATTTTAATAATGTATCTTTTAACAGTGTATCTTTTAATATTGTAAATAAATTTATGTATTTCAACTGTGTAGGGTCTTTCTCCTTAGAGGACTTGTTGTGGTAGTTCTAGGAAGAGCCCGGGCTCTTTTCGCACCGTCCTGGGAGGGACCTTGGAGGTCCGGGCGCTTTTCAAACGTCTGCCTGAGTTTTTGGGCTCTTTTCATGTGCGCCCCTTTTTTAGGGGGGAGGAATAGTTAAGGGATAAGGGATTGAGGGGGGCTTCAGTGGATAAGTTAAGGGCTAGCATAGTACGATAAAGGGATTAGAATATGAATTACACGTTCAAAAAAGTGGTTTCATAGAGTTTCAGTAGGCTTTGTTATAGTTTTGAACAGTTTAGAAAATAATTTTTTTTACAGCAAAAAATTAAATACATAATCTTTTCAAAATAAAATTGTAAATACAAAAATTGTACATACAAAATTGTACGACATCGTAAATATAAATTGTCATTGGTTAAGGTTTATTTGTAGCATATAATAAAATACGAAATAAATACATAACTCTGATTACACTGGATTTAGGTCACGTGGAGAAAACGTTTGATCTCAACAGCAGTCAGAGCACCATTAACGTTACATTATGCCCAAGGCGGCTGGTAAAAAGGTTAAGGTTGTAAAGACTGAGTAATGTTTTAAACATATTTTTGAGATTTTAACTTGTCCCGTATTTTTTTATTCACTTGCCTTTAACTGATCCAACATTACATTTCTTAAGGCCAAAATGATACAAGGTAAATATTGATTTTAGCACCCAATTAGCCTGGAAGTAAAAATTGTCTTTTTTAAATAGAGGCTTTCAATACACAGAAAGAACTCAGCATAAAGATCTATCTATATTTATGCTTGTTATTTGGATTCGGATTAAGATGGGTTCTGAGCCCCTGGCACAAACATGATCTCATACTGTAGTGAGTCGTGGAATTTAAACCCGTTTCTCTAGGATAGTCCAGTACTCTTTGTGCGGTGCAATTTCGTCCTGGGACAAAATTGTACTGTCGGCCTCGGATAGCTAATCTAATTGAGTTAGTCCAGGGTTAGTGGTAATAATAATAGTATTAAGTTTAAATACTCGGGCTCAGATGTGGTCATTAAAGCATCATTAATGACCCATTCATCACTGCCCGATGTACTTTAATTTAAACAAATTAACAAATTTAGAATAATTTGTGTTAATTCTTTGAGTGAAACACTGGTCGTAACTAACTGAAATTTTTAAATTATAAAATAAAACAAATCTTTACTTAATGGGTATACCGTGTTTCATTTTTAGAATTAAAACATTTTTAGAATTAAAACCAATGACGCTTAAAATAAACCGAATTGATTATATCGCAAACCACGGACTATTTCGCCCTGGCCTAAAACCTAATTTCGACGTTACCAGAGTTGTTCCACCACTGGTTTATTTACCGGGCTATCCGCCCACGATTTTTTTTAATAGTCGCCGGTTTTCACTCGGTAGCGTGATCGACTGAAAATTCAAAGTAGTGATGTATCGGGTTCGATGACGAGAGTTCACGTACCTGTGACGCCAATTTACATTTTTAAGCAAAGTCAATACTCGTAATACTCCGCCTCATCTTTTACATCCGCTCTCGATACGTCACATGTATTCCGAGACCCATTTGAACAAGCAAGTTCAATGATAAAAGTTCCCACTTTCAAACAAATTTAAGTTTGATGAAAATGCTGTATAAAGCGTAAACACATATTTTAGGTTATTATGGGCCTACCTTGACCAAGAATAGTCGTACCACCGCAGCACTCTCCTCTTCATACCCCCAGGCACCTTATGATGTCTCATATAGGTCTTCGCCCCATCCAGCAGCCGCTCAAACTCCAAGCGGTTGGCGTTCCTGTTGGTGATTACGTTCCCCACTTGGCCTAGATCAAAAATAACACGATTATTTGAATACACTATTGTATTAAAATTAATAGAAACAATGCATTAAGAAATAGGACTTAACAGTTTACTTGCTTAAGAAAACAGTTTCAGGCAAACATAAAGAGTTAGTAGAATGCCTGTAACAAAACCCAGTCTATAAAACAGTTAGTTGTGAGTCTATTTCTTCCTTGTATTCCTAGGCCAAGTGCCCTTTTCTCCAAATAGGTACTGACCTTTTGTATAATAAAATACCCCCACCGCAGCAAACCTGCAGACTAAGCCAATTTCCACTTACCTGGCTGGATTTATACTAAAACATTCCCTAAAAATTGTCAGATTTATTTCCTATTAAAATAACTTTAATTTTAGTGAGTACTGAGGTTTGCTACAACAGGGAACATATTGAGGTGTGTTTTTTTTATTGCAATGTTGATAGCTTAGTATTAAATAAACCAAATTTCCGAATATGCTTAAAATAGTTAAAATATATCCATAAACAAGCAAATTAAAACGTTTATTTAATTTTCCATAAGAATAATATGGGGATTTTAAATTTACAATCTTTAAATTATCTCCGTAACCGTTGGGCAAACAACAACACTTCGATATACAAAATTATTTCGTATTTTAATCTCTACAAAATGGTTTGGAAAGAAATTATAATATTTTTGTTTTCAGGGTCAAAAATTGGAAAAATCAATTTTTACCCCATAAAACCTCCCATAAACCCCCGTTCCCATAGTCCGATTATGCTGGTTAACGAACTCGTTCAAATAAACGTAGGTTTACACGTTTGTACCAAATTTAATCAAAATCGGATAATTTTTGCTCGAGTTATCGCGCTAATGGACACACATGTAAATATGAATTTGAACGGATGGTGTAGTTGGTCTCTGGGTACCTCAAAATGAAAAGTAAATCGCTCCGGGTCTTACCATGAGTACTACGGTAATAGCTTATTCCCTATATGGGAAATTCGCTAAAAACTAATATATGGGAATATCATTCTATTTACCACTTACTGTCAAGCTCTGTCATTGATTTGTAAGCACTCCAGCCTGTTATGGGGATGATGTCATAATTTATTCGTGTTTATCTGTATCGTCGTCGTTACGGTAAATCACACTAATAAACACGAATAATTGATGAAACCATCGCCGTAACGTCTATAGTGCTAAATAATAATCAATTGGAGTGGACAGAATGCAGAATGTTTAATAATTTCGTCCTACTATCTGTCACACAGAAAAGCAATTAGAAGAAAAATAATGTATGGGTGCAACTCATTGATTTCGATTTGAAAGAAAGATAAGTATAATGGTTTCCAAACAACAAGGAATGTCACAGTACGAGTGTTAAGTACGATTTAAATTGCTTAACCTACTTTATTACCAAGAGGGCAATATGGGGGATTTCTAATTATCAAAGTTCTAATTTGTAATCTTCCCTTGAAATCTTCTCATTCAAAGATGATTTGTATGAGTGTAGCGAGAGTTTTTCTAATAAAATGAATAGTAGTTTGTAATTAAACAGTTAATTAAATTCACACATATCTTACCATTTGCGTAAAGCTCATAAAACTGAACATTTATTTATGTACCTTTGAATAAAACAAAAATTATTTTTCTGTTTACTTAAAATGCTTTTTAGTTAGTTAAATCATTATCTTACAAATTTTCTCAAAGCCATGCAACTTATAATGTCAATCCCACTTTAAATATAACTACTATTTTATAATGCTATTTTAACTTCATAAGGCGATAAAAAAAGTACCTAATCCATAGCAGAAAAAAGCGTTTAGGGACTTGTTTTGTATTTTTAAATGGACGCAATTGATAAAACAAAATCAGATATAAATAATATGGTTATTTGTTGGTACTCTAATGATCTACGAAACGAAACATACACAACAGACTAACATAGGCTGGAGATTTAAATACTTAAACATCCTCGAAGGTATGATAACTAAGTTGCTTAAAAAGAATGAAGCTGATATCATCAGCAAAGAAGAAGATGGGCTTTAGGACGAAAGTGAAGGGGTGGGGGGGGGGGGGGGGGTTTAAATGGGTCAGTCAGGTCCGTTTGTGATCTATGCAATAATGAACTCAACTCCGAATTTCTCACTTTTAACTCACATATCTCTGAACTTTGACATATATAATTTGAATATAATTTCTCATCACATGTGGTGTCTGTTCATAAGCTTTGATTTAGATTCAAAAACAAGAATTCTTGTTTTAACCTTTAAAAATGTTAACTCGCAGATCTCTGAACTTTGACATACATAATCTGATGTAATTTCTCATTACATGTGGGTTTCTGTTCATAAGTTTTGACTTTAAAAGCAGGAATTCTTGTTTCAGTCTTTTTTATTTAACTTACAAGATTTATTTATCATACTTTATGTGTACATGTTTGTAGTGTTTTTAGTGTTTCAAGTGGATTTATATTTAATGATACAATAAATTACAACCAGTCAACCTGTGTACATACCTTTGTAAGTTTTTCTAATGTAATTACCTAACAGGGTTGTACAAGTACATATTATATTTTACGATAATTTATTTGCAAATATTATTCGCGTTTGTTTTATCATGTTGGTTTGATAATCTAGCCAATTTTGTCCAAGCTGCGTATTTTATATGTTTCTTTGAACAGCAATTATTCGAGTGAAAAATGTTATTAATATGGTTGTTAAAGTTTGTAAAATCTACTTTACGAAGTTAATAAAGGTCTACCAGGAATACATTTTGCAAAAATGTACAACTAATTCACATAAAACTATAATATTTGTAGGCGTTACTCATATGCTCATTTTATCACATTGACTGTTATTCTTTTTAATGCCAGTTATTCTCTTGGAAACTAAATTCCACAATTTACATAGTAGAGTAAGATTACGGTACATAATACCACTTGTTTACTGTGAATAAAATCTGTTTACTTACCGACAATAGTAGCAAAAATGAACACTCCAATCAAATAGCTGACGATGGTGAAGACATATCTGGAAAAGAAACAACAAACGGTTGTGTTATACAATGATATAGCAAAACCTCAGCTGTATTATTTATCCATGCAGCCAAGATGTTTGTGTTGCCATGTAGCCTCGCGGAAAAGCTAGTTTTGTTGTTGCAATCAGTGATGAGGTTATATCCTAGTTGAAACTCTTGCACATTTAAGCGTCCCATTTAATTTTTTCTGAGGTAATTGATTTTATATTGTAGATACAAATGCTGTTAGAATGGCCTGTTTGTCATGGTAACTGTGTAATACAAATGAAACACTTCTATCAATTATTGCTGAGAAAAGTCCAGATGTATAATTGGGAAAATCTTATGCATTTTTATAAAAGATTCAAGGACTAGTATTAGCAAAGAATTAAAGATAAGCACTAGAAAACAGTCAAGAATTGGCATTAGGAAAGAATCAGGAATTAGTATCTGGAAAGAAGATAAGAAATTACATGGGAAATATTCATGAATTAGTATTAAGACTGTCAAAAATCGTTACCAAGCAATTAGTAGGTAATAATTAGTATAAGGAAATACTCGATATTAAGTATTTGAAAAGAATCGAGACTCAATAAAAATTAATTATTTATCAACAGCTAATAGGCTTAAGTTATCAAACTGGCATAAAAGTTCCCAATGTTTTAATTTAAAAGCCACCACTTTGTGCATAAACCACGCTAATATTATGTACTTGGATTTTATTTTGTATAAATTTATTTCACAATATATTGTTTTTCGGTAAATGAATGTGAAACATCGCTTAACACTACATAGCACATTTTAAAATTACCTAATAGATAACTGTACTTGTGTAAAGGTGAATAAAACTTTTGTGACTATTTAAATTCCGAAACAGTCTGGATGAAAATAGTTGAAAAGTAACTGGTTATTCAAAGTGATTGAACTAGAATGATTAAACACACGGTGATTAAATGGTTGCGACCTTAATCCGTTCTTTGATTAGTGGCACACTGTTGCAAGTTAAAATTAAAAATAAATTTGTATACAAGGCAAACATATCCTCTTATTCAACATTGAATGTGGTTTATTTCTTGGAAGAAAATTTTCTAGAATTTTATACTATCATACTGATAAAATGAAGCATATTTATAGGTAATGCAAGGGTTCTAGTATCGTTTGGCTAGTAAAATATTAAAATAATAAAAACAATGTCATGTGTATGTTTGTTAAAAACTAATAGTCGCGTATTAATTATGTTATAATCTAATTAATGAATAGTTATAGTGTTGTATTGTTTGTTTTACAGCGGAAAATAAATCAAGGAAGAGATGAAAAGTAACAACTAAAAGCATTCATGTAACAATTAATTGTGTTTTTTTATTGTCAAAATTGTTATCTGATAATGATTTGATTATAAGTATAATTTATATTTAAATACATTTATAAATCAAATGAAAAAAATAAATTGTATATGTGTATGTATAGTATACATACCTTAGTAGTATATAAATATTATAACGTGTGCGCCAAAAAAAAAACATGGCAGTTTTTAAAATGAAATTTTTTGAGAACAAAAACAGAGTGTACACTGTAAATAAGACTAAAATATTTACATTGTTTTACCATTTTATTAATGGTGGATAATGTTTATCAAGTGATGCCCATTTACGTGTACACAGGCTTCCTTTCTGTAAACTTTCCGTTTCTTTCGTCTCATTGATTGAGGAATAATAGTTACCTAGTGTCTTATACACTGTTCAGTGCATAACACAACTATAGCAACTTTAGTAATACTGTACCATTGACTATATATACCTATAACGTTAAACCGCATTTTAAAGCAATGACGTGCAAGTTTCAGTTTCATGAGATTAGTTGTTGTCGAAATTAAGTAAACAACTATACATAAATAAAAATAACACATGGATTTTAATTTGGCAAAAAATTGGGTGAACAAATGCCGCTTCTGAAGTGTAATTTTTCAAATACGATCATTGCTTACGAACTACCTTGCCGTTCGAATGATTGTTGGCAGGACTATGTACATATGTACACTGAGTTGGACTATCCAGATCTCAGTTCGACACTTAGAAGCACCGGTCCACCCATGAGACGTTAGACTCTGTTTCGTATATATCTCGACAACGTCTGCAAACTTACGTGCGAGAACTCATATCTTTATCTCCAGTTTTCCTCTCGACCTTGTCAATAAGTCCGTTTGAAATGTGATATTCTTAAAATGTAGACATTTTTATATTACTTGAATCAGAGCTTTTTTCAATAAAAGGTTATCTATACCTATTAATACATTTTATTAGTTAGTTATTGACAGCAATTCATTCTGCCTACCGACAAAACTGCCTACCGACAAAAAGCTTCCATCCTTGGCCGCGGTGGAGCGCTGTTCTAGTTCAGATTACTACCTCGTGGCGCGCCACTTCACAGGTGCTGGCAGGGTAGTGGCAAGGGTAGGGGGGGCGGGGTAGAGGCAAGGGTAGTGGGGGGTAGTGGCCAGTGGGTTGGGTGCTGTTCTCTCTCATTCTCACACACAACAACCACTGTCATTTCACAAATGCCAATGATGACGTTCAGGGAAGAATGTCCATCATTCATGTGTGCAGCCAAATCAACACAATTGCATAGACTGAAAAGGGAGGGGGGCAATTTTATAATATTGGTAACCATTGACTATATATACCCCTATACATACGTTCCATGGCCATAGTGGACCGGTTGCCAGTAATTTGTTGGCAAGGATAGGAGCGCTAGAACAGCGCTGGTTAGTGGTTAGAAGGTTAGAAACAGTCTCGACGCATGCGCAGACGAGTAGATGAGCACTGAGCAGTGAGCAGTCGACCGCTCACCACTCAGCGCTCAGCTCATCCAGCTGACGATAGCTGTGAGGGGGGGTGGGAGAGTGGGGTAGTTGAGAGAGTATACAATGCGTCGCTATCACTACAAAAACAATATCCAGAAAGGTCAATGAGCTGAGCAAAAACTATTCTCGATCAGCTGTGGTGACACGTCACTCGCACAACACTATGATGAATCTCACCGCGTGCCCTGGCCCTACTTTCGTTTCATAAAAATGCATTCGTGCGTTAGTGGTGTTTGATGGTTTGACTAGACCCAGGTTTAATACTGTTTACATTATGTTGAGACGCACACGATATTGTTAAACAACACTAAGCCTACTATTGGTACAAATTTTTATTTATACAATTTGTATTCGAGGCTTACAATTGATTGAAGTTTGTGTAATTTGTTCTTATGTTACCAGCAACTAATTACTCCTAATTTTATTCAAGAAGTAATAAACCATGACTTTTTATAAGAATTTTTTTATCCTACCAACTACGTTAAGTTTGTGTTGCTAGATATTTTACATGCATTTTCAGTAATATTTAATGAATAAGCAATAACGAGGATTTAAAACTTGAAGTAAGAATGTTGAATAAGAGGAAATGTTTGCCTTGTGTACCAATTTATTTTTAATTTTAACTTGCAACAGTGTGCCACTAATCAAAGAACAGATTAAAATCGCAACCATTTAATCACCGTGTGTTTAATCATTCTAGTTCAATCACTTTGAATAACCAGTTACTTTTTAACTATTTTCATCCAGAATGTTTCGGATTTTAAATAGGTACAAACGTTTTATTCACCTTTACAGCTGTCTGCAACAATGAACTATGTGGATAATATAACAGCTGAAGAATCGCCAGATTAAAACTATCAGGTTTTTATGGATCAGCCGTATTCCATTTTTATATGCGATCAAATTGTATAGTATCCTTAATCTCAAGTATTCTAAGTGTACAATAAAATAATGAACATTTTCAAATGTTATTTTATTTTCATACTAGTATATTTATTATAGTATAGTTATTTTCATTTAATGGCAAAAGGTTCAGCGAATTTAAACAATTTAATTAATTAAAATTTTTAAACAGTATGTCTAACTATAATGGATGCAACTACATACATAACTTAACCTAGGTGGTGATGCAGCAAAGTTTTGCTTTCCTTACAAAATACAGAGAAGGCTGAACTTCCACTGCACCAGAACTACGAACGATATCAATATGGCAATCTAGACGAACAGCCTTCGAAAAGAAAAAACAATTCCAATTTACAGTCGGGACCATGAGAGTCTGCAGTTGGCGGCAGCCAATAAAAAAAGGCTAGTGCGACGTTGCCATATCGCCCGTTGAAGATACTAATTAACATAATAAACAATATTTTCAAATGAGCTGGTATTATTAGATTTGGCAACACCGCACTGTCCTCATTGGCTCCTTCGAAGTCACGTGGTAAATAGGCTCCTCCATCAACTGCAGACTCTCGTGGTCCCGACTATAGGTAAATTTTCAAACAATAATATTAATTTTTGAAAAGTTAAAAATGTTTCTACTGATTGTATTTTGTAAGAAAGATAAAAAACTTTGCTGGGCCCAAATACTGACCCTCTGTTCGAGTTGAACTGAAGAAGTCTGGATTTGTGACCCCTTCTAGGCAGCGTTTGAAGGCCATCCGTCGATGTCTTACTGTACATCACCCATTGCCACATTAATATCATTGCAACTCTACTCTGTGTAGCATTGACTTAACTACGAGATAGTCTGAAGGAACTACTGAATGTATTCAATGTCAACAGAAAATGACTGAGGATAACAGTCACGATACTTGTAAATATTGGTCTTCAAGAATTGACCATGTTGTTGATTGGCAGAAATGCTAGCTGGTGTTTCAGATGGAACGAACCATCAAGACAACGTATCTTGCTCGCCATTGCAGCAGTCTTTTATCAATTATTGATTATTTGGGATGGGAACGCCACCTAGGCATATTTTAACCCAAATGTGAGTGAAGGTTCAGTGTAGAATGGTTTAGATGATCTGTGTAGCTTTTTTTACTTTTATGACTAAGATCAGCTGGTTCATCAGTCAGGATCATGTATTTAAAGCCCAATTGCCAGGAACAGTTGGGTCCGGTTTAAAATCTTCAAAAAGCTACTGCCTTTCACAGGATTGGACCTTTTAATTGTTAGGTAAGTACTTTAACCACTCAGATACCCCCTTACTCTGAAGATATATTGCTTGAACGCATCTAACCGTCGGACAGTATTTCTGCTGGTCAACAACGCAGCCAACTCCAGAAGACCAAAGACAATATACTTTGAATGTAGGAAATTATAGTCTGTATGATGTAACCTGCCTCCTGACCCTACATATACCTGTGACCTATGACTGGCCCGGAGCTTACTAGCAGTCCCAGGTAGATCTGGAGGCTCAGAAGACAGGTTTCTTCAAACAGAGTATACCTTTTAGCTTAAGTTATGATACCTTCAAAATGTGTATTTACTCAATCGAACGACAGAGTAAATGAATAATAAAAAATAATCGTTAAATAATATCACTCTCGAATTTCCTATGGATTAATTGATGGTCCAATAGATTTTAGTGGAATGAAACTACCACAAGGATGGTTTTCCATGCCCAATAGACATTCTTTTTTATGGACTTACAGCTTAGGCCTAAAGTAGGTTCTAAAACCATTAGGTAACAGTATTAACACTAGCAAATAGATATTCATTATATATTAACGGATTTGAACTCAAAACTTCAAGGCAGAAGGTCCGTGCAATAACCATCATGCCAGCCGCGTTTTTTATTATTCTAAAATAAAGTAAATGAGATTCAAATAACGTACCAGTCAATATTGATAATTTCTCGGGTGCCATTATACTTGTTGTACTCATATACTACCATATACCTCTATAAAAGCCTTGCATTAATGGCTCATAGTTACCTACACATGCAACGAAACTTTCGTATCTTCAGAGGAAAATAATAACTGCTTTAGGTTTGGACGCATTTGTAAAATATATTTCGGAAAGAATACATTTTCTGATTTTAGCTTTATTTATATATTTACCTTATAAATAGACAAGGTAGAATTTAATTTACGTTTATTTAATTTAGGTTTTCGCAGAGAATATGATGCCTTTGTATGATCTGCTGACGTCATAAAGAAATCTCACAGCGGCAAGGTTTTACAACATTCATAAAACATCTAAAGTGAGACAGCAATCATGTGGTTGAAAAAATCTTGATAGTTGCTTAAATTGTGCCACTATTGTTCGACTCACTAGTCTATTTATAGTGTCAATGCCACAGAAAATAATTGATATAAAAAAATCTGAAAATGCCCTCAAAAGCTGTATAAGCTTCTCAATAATTGGATATTTAGAAGACTGAGCCTCACAGTGCTACACAGAAGTCCGAGATGCTAGTTACTTAACACAACTTTTGAAAATTTTTAAATAAACTTAAAAGCAACACACGATATTACACAACTATATTGACATGCAATAAACATAATATTATCTTTATATACCGGTACTTAGGAAAATCATGAGATAATCTTTTGAATACATCTTGCTATTCCCCAGATAAGGTTTGGCCATAAGATTGCAATTAATGTGCATTGTATTCCTCGAGTTTTTTTAAAATTTAAACATAGTTACTACGCTTTGGTTGGATGTATGATTATGGATGGAACTAGATTCCTTTTCCAAGTTAAAGTTGCAGCCATTTTTAGATTTAAAATAACATCCTTTAATTTAGCCACAACAGAATGTGCTGATGTCAATCAAATATTCCTGTTGTATATTAATTTTACAGTAAAAGGTGTACAAGATCAACTAAAATCTCGATTTATTGCAAACAATAGCATCGTATCATGAAAATTATCATGGTATCAAACAAGTAAGAGGGGAAATAGTTTTGGCAGAAGTTCCCTCTATGTCAGGCTCATTTAACAAAATTTAATTTAAATTACAAAATAGATACATCTGGTCCATATAAATAGGATGTTTTCCGTGACATCTTTAAGTCAATAGTTAGACGGTGGCCTGTTTTATCACCTAGATCCATGAGAATATAAATCTTGTTTTAAATAATTACCTCTATAGCTTGAAATATAACTGAAAGAGCTTATACTTACTCAGCATTGGTCTCGGGTGTTGGAAGGTCACCTATAGTGGTCAACGTCAGTGTTGACCAGTAGAGGGAGCCGAGGTATTTGCGAGTGAGGGTGGCGTAGTCCCCAGGTCGGTACGGATACACCCAGTCTCCTTGGAACCCCTCGGCCTCGGAGAGAAGATAGTAGAAACATCCGAACCAGTGGGCGAGAATCAGAAGGATGTGAATAAGGTTCATGACCCGCCATAGGTTCGGGTAGACTGTGCGTGATTCTACCATGTAGTAATAGTCGTAGACTCGGTACACCTGCAAAGAAAACACAAAATATGATTGTTTATTGTACCATGTAGTAATAGTCGTAGACTCGGTATACCTGCGAAGAAAACACAAAATATGATTGTTTATCATACTCTGTAGTAATAGTCGTAGACTCGGTACACCTGCAAAGAAACACAAAATATGATTGTTTATTATACCGTGTAGTAATAGTCATAGACTCGGTATACCTGCAAAGAAATCACCAAATATGATTGTTTATTATACCGTGTAGTAATAGTCGTAGACTCGGTATACCTGCAAAGAAATCACCAAATATGATTGTTTATTATACCGTGTAGTAATAGTCGTAGACTCGGTACACCTGCGAAGAAACACAAAATATGATTGTTTATTATACCGTGTAGTAATAGTCGTAGACTCGGTATACATGTGAAGAAACGCCAAATATGATTGTTTATTATACCGTGTAGTAATAGTCGTAGACTCGGTATACATGTGAAGAAAACCCCAAATATGATTGTCTAGGCTATGTACCTCACACATTTATTGTGAAAGTTTTGATTGTAATTAGTTGACCAAGACTTGGTGGAATACCTATGTGATGATGGAAGATTTATATTTCGTTTCTAACTTGTCATAGGTATAATGTGAATTTGTTACAAATCGGTATCGTAGGCTAATACACCAGCAATGACAACGTGGGCACAGCGAGTTTTAATTTGTAATTTTCCACGAATAAAATAAATATGATTCTCGACCGAAGAGTTGTAGACTCGGTATACGGTACATAAAAAGACAACGTGTAAGATTTTTTTTATTTGATTCTTAATTTTATGTAGCTATAGGACTGGAATGCAAAAACTAAGTAAAATCAAAGCAACCGAAATTAAACGCCTACTAACAATCAATTGATACTCTCGACACAACCGGTTTCCAGTTAATCCTTACATAAAAGTAGTAGGTATCTTGATTTCGCAGTTAATAGAGGTTTGTTGCCTCTTTTAACCTTGCATTTGCCCGTCCACATAGGCTACGGACCTGTGTGTGGAACATATCCAGCAAAGCAACGGTTGAACCGGGACAGTAAAAGGGTGAAGTGTAAAGATAAAAAGTAGTAGCAGGTACCCGAACCCAAGACATCGCTGCTTTGGACCCAAAGTCCTTGACGCTACCGACTGAGCCACCGACTCACCAAAACTCTTTCTAACTCTTTTACAGATTTAATGCAAGATTCTCCCATGTATAACTATTCGTAAGCTCTGCACATCTGCAAATACGACATATAACATAAATTAGTTTCTCTAACATTCCAAGAATGTAATGTACACATTTATATCATGAAGTTATAGTTGTATACTTGATACACCTGCAAACAAAACATGGAAGATGTATATTTAGCGTAGAACTTTCCAAAGTTGTAATGTAATGATTTTACCACGTATTTATAGTGGAAAGCCATTTATTTATGAAAATACAACACGAAAGATGTAAATTTAGTATCCAACTTTCCCAGATGTATCGAACATTATTTTACCATACACGAGTTGTCGTATAGTTATAACCCCTTCAAAACCAACATAGAAGATGTATTTTGACTCAAAGTAGTCTTCTGCAATTGTACGTGATTCTATTGTGCATACTAGAAGTTATATTATATTAGATCCACCTGAAAATATAACTTGGAAGATAAAGTTTCTAACTTTCCAAAGATTTTAATAAATCACGTAGTAAGGAAGCAGACTTGGTGCACTTGTATATACAGCACAGAATATAGTTCTGCATATAGATACAGTTTCAAATATTTTTCTGAAAACGCCATTGTATCTCGTTACGTGGTTTTCATTCGTTTTAGAATTACAGTATTAATTCTGATCCCAGAAAAATGTGACAGTTTTCTATTAGCTATACTATTATACTCAAATTCTTCCAAGATGTGAATAATTTTAGGAGGAATTAAATGTAAAGAAATGTGTTATCCACACCTATACCTAATACCTAACACTATTAGGGAGAGTGAGCTGGTCTAGTGGTTAGAGCACGGGACTCCGGTTCCTGGGGTCCCGGGTTCAAAACCCACCAAATCACCAATCGATTTTATCAAAGTGATAATGCCGTAACCCCTAGGTCTAGCCTGAAGTAATGTGAAAAAAAATTCCGGCCTCGTGCCAAGCGTCCTAGGGAAAAAAACCTAACACTCATTTTATATACTGAACTTAATGGAAAAGGGTTTAGTTTATAATTTACTGGTTTTTCCTTCCAAGAGTGTAAAAAGTACGATATTGGGGATGAAGGGATCGGTTTTAGATTAGACGTTCCATCTAAATGCAACAGCTGTAGCCAATTAAAAAAAATAAATAACGTAGTTGTGTGAGCCAGTCACAGAATACGCTAGTGACTAAAACTCTATTTTCTACATTATTTTTTTTGTTGCTGGCTAAGTTGATGGGTCATAACAGTTGTTATAGCTCACAATAAGTCATTCCATTAGTTAGAATTTGTAAAAAAGCTTGTGTATTCAACAGAAATCAGTAATTTAGATGAGCAAAATCTGTTGGTGGCTTACCTCAACTACGACGATTTCGGTAAAAATAAACTGGCTACAAATTTAACATAGGAATGGAATTTCTAGATGTATAAATAGTCAAAGATAGTACTAACAGTAATATGAACAATGTTTACCTGAGCAGACAATTAAACTCTTAGCTACACAGACCGTTCTCTGTTATAAGTGAAGTAATTTTATTCTGATTTTCAGGGTAAAAACTAACGAAGGAAACATAATGCACCAAGATGTAGATGCCTTAATGGCAGATAATGTGAAAACAGAATTGAGGAAATTGCCGGTCTAACAACAAAGGGTAACACCCTCGTCATAATTGCCTTAGTTTGTTTGCTCGTCTTTGACGAAAACTTTTTAACATTATACGCAATAAGAATATCAGTAACGCTTCATTTTTATACAAACGCAACAGTTTAATGTAATTTGCCATTGACCAAATAATCAAAGGTTGGAGTTGACCAACCAATCAAGTTTAAACGAGTTACTTGTTCTCATTGGTCAATAGAGCGAACTTAGCTTCAAACTGAGACAGTTGAAGGTTATACAATCAAAATACTGCTACACGACAAACCCCCGCCCCCCAATAAGTTCTTTTTGGTCTAAAAAGTACCACAGATGCATTGCCTTAAAAATCTGATGAATTCGACAATTTCATGTTGGAAACAAGTATTAGTAATACTATTTATAACAAAGATTATATGAATTTATTAATGTATTGATTACATAATAATAATAACGACGTAGAAACTTTTCTGATATGCGTTCCAACAATATATTTATCTAATATTTGCTATCAAGCATGTTAAAGGGCTGAATGTTTTGAAATTGCATTGTGAATCAAGTAAAGCACACAATTAATTTTCTTCGCTGAACTTCAACTAACATATGTTGAACAATGTATATTCATAGATTATTCGGTACTACATGAGGATTTAAGAAAATCCGAAGCATCCATAATTAATAGATTTGAAAGGTTAAGAAAGTGTATTTTCGTTTTTGTTTCTAAAACAATACACTTTTGTATTAGACTCATAAGGAGTCTTCTAAAGTCAAATCTTCTTTTACGCTACAGCGAATATAGTAAGCTGTAATTGTAAATAATGTACTTTCAAAAGGTTAGTATAAAACTGGTTTTATGTTCATAGTCTTTGAACTATATGTAAAACAAAACTTATGCTTTTTATCTAATAGCATTGTCAAAAATATATTTACACCTACTTACATATACTAAAATATACAAATACATAAAACCATATTATTCAGTTTAAAATAAAACTGTTGACAAGTTTAAAATACTTGTTGAAAAGAGAATTTTGGTGCCCCCCCTTAAAAATTCTTATTGAACAGCGGAAATTAAGTAGGACTTTATTCTTTCTCCCATTTTGTCTGATTATGATTGTAGAGTCTAATCAAAATCCATAATCGTATTACATCTTTAACATGTTATACGTTTTCTATACGTTGACAGTGTAATTCGAACCATTTTGAAAAGATATTAGATCTTTTCCTTTACATATGTGATGACACTAACATATATTATGTCAATAATGTATTTATTTATAGATGTGAAAAAAATCAAACACCTTAGCTGACTTTGGTAGTTACTTTTAAATTACTTCTATCGACGTTTACAGGTTAAAGAGGAAGAATGACTTTGCTGTTGGCGTTAATGCTACAAGAACATCGATTTTGTCCACGAACTCCGATTTTTCTTCTTTTGCCTGGTACTTTGATGAATCTATTTGCATTGAAGTTTTCTCTAAACTTCCCTTTCTTCGTCCATTTCTTAGAATTCAAGCTACGAAAACTTACAATAAGTGTTTTTCACTTTTGGTACCCAATTTTAAACTAAAACGACTATGGCAATTTTATAGTTGGTGTTAAACTATACAGTATACGCACATCCTGTGTAGAAAAAAAAAATAAAATAATAATTCCGAGAGATATATATTTTTGGAAATACAGTAGGCCTAATAATCATGCACATTGTAGCAGATAGAATAAAAATCAACTAAATAGTACCACTTTGACCACGTTGAAAGAAATAACAACAAAAAGTGGAAACATGTGTATATATAATGAATTTACGAACTTGCATGTTGTAAAATAAAACAACTCAATCCTGTTATGTTGATTTGAAAAAAAATTTAAACAATTTAAATGATCGGCTATTTCTGAAAACTATATTTAGTAATACAATAAACATGTATTTTGTAATCCATGCAGTAGGGGTTGCAGATAAAATCAAACTATGTATTTTGTGTTAATGATAAAAGAAGCAACACTACAAAAAATAAAACAGGCAATAGTCAAAAATGCATATCTATTGCCTAGGAACAAATTAAATTTCTCAACTTGCAGATTTTATAACTGAGAAAAATCTTGTTCCATTATTTTACACAGGGGAAAATTTATTTCGTTTGATATATGAAAATATTTGGTATGAAAAAATCTTTGCAATTAACAG